CGATGCATTTATTGGAGAATTATTAGGCCGTTTATTCGTATAAAATTTTTAAAAACAGTCGTATATGAAAAATTCTCAGTGATATCTCAATTTAAATTAACGAAGTAAACTGACTTTAAATGGATTTTAAATGCACTATCAAATGCAATAAGAATTATCTAGGCCAAACGAAGAACAGAAAATCTAGGAACTAGGAAGCTTCTAAAGGAAAACATGGATTATTTTTTCATTTATATATATTTTCTTTCTTCTAGACGTGTCAATTCACTTATCTTCAGTTTGTTGCAATTTTCTTTAACTGCAATTGCACAATGATCAAATTTTTCTAATGCCTGCCGTTTTGAACGGTTTTGTATTTGCAGGGTTTTCAACCATGAGTCTTGCTGCAATCTTGTAAGGGATAAATTTGGTCCTGAACTGGACAAGGGTGAGGAACATCAGGTTATCATTCCTACTGATTTTGTTCGTCAAATTTCTTCGGCTGGATCGGAGGGGGATTGGATGGAGCCATCCATTTGTATGTGTAATTCCAAAATGCTGCAACGTTATGGATCGGAGAGAGTTTATGATGCTTTTCATTTGTTGCGGACCGAGCCATTAGTGCAGGTGCCTTTTTATTTTTTCAAGTTCTCAGAAGATGCTTGCAAATGAATTTAAACAAAGGATAATCTTTCTGAAAGTCATATCTTGATGTGGGAAGGAACTTAGCATCATGAGCAAGATCGGAGTTTCACTCGTTATGTTATAATAGTTTTCCCGAATATGCGCAGAGCAATCCTCATAATGAATGTTGTCTGCCCCACCCCCCATCCCATGTTTTGGAGGAAGACATGTCAAATCTCATGTTATTTGTGTCCAATGAACTCACTTTTGTGTTCAATTTTAGTAGAGAGCTATTTGTTTCAATAGTGCATTTCTTGTGTAGAAAATGGTCAAATCCTTATCATCGGATGAGGCGGTTTGGAATGCAGTTCGGAACAATGAGGCGGTGAGGGAGCTCAGAGACTCGTTTTACTCGGGTTAGAATGAATTCTAGTTATTACATTTGCATCTCATTTGTTAGTTGTTACTTGTTCCTCTTTCAATCTCTTTTGGATTTGTTATTTTTTTAGTAGCTTCTAAGTCGTGTTAAAGGATGAGAATTTCCTGCAGAGGATAATAGGCCCAAGAGTCCGGATGAGAGACCTGAGGACGCCAATGAAGAAACAAATATAGTGAAATGGATTTTCGATGGCACTAGATCAAAAATCATGGAAGTGGTTGAGAAGATTACGAAGTTTATGAATGATCTGTTTCAACCTCCAGAGAACGAAAAGACAACATCCGATTCAGGAAGCACTGATCTTTTTAAGGAGAAGCTGAGGACATCATTCATGCTCTCCATTATGGTACTACTGGTTGTGGTGCTTGCTCGAGCCAACAAGGCTTGACCATAAATCCGACGACATTACTGGTGGATCGGGGAATTGCCTCCAATTGTCGACTTTCTCGTCTTTTGATTTTTGTTTTTTTGTTTTTTTTTGAATTCTCTTGTGCTCTGTCTCTCCTTTTCATTTCCCTTGAATATGGATTGTGGACGTGCATGTAGCTGGTTTTTTTAAGTTCTACCGTTATTTTGAATAAAGTTCCTTTGGAAAAGCAACGAGTTAAGAGCACGTAAATAGTTGACAAGAGCAATACCCTCTTAGCAGAACAAGAAAAAAGCAATAATGCCTAGCAAAATGATAAGAAGGGTCAATTTTTCCTGTTCATCTACTCGAGCCTCTTCAATTCTATAACTTGAGTTTTATTTATTTATTTATTTATTTATTTTCCAACTGCGGTGGAGGATACAAACATCCTGGGAGAGGGGCGTCAATTTACCGTTACGCTATGTCTATTACCGCTATAACCAGAGATCTTTGTCACTTCAAAAACAAGCTCAATCTCATAATGCAAATTGTGATCACACGCAATTTACTGTTATCCTGCCAAGAAAATGAAGCAATAATCTTCATTTCGTTACTAGAAAAACTACATCAATGGATAATCTACCTAAATCTATTGTCATTGCAGAAAAGTTTCACTTGTCACCGAGTTGTTAAAATGTGATCAGATGATCTACCTACTCCATATGCATGCATTTACCGTCTACATCATGTGCAGTGTGCTCCCACAAATATTAAGTATGTACTACATCACCCTTTGTCTGTGTGTTTAGCCCAAGTCGATCACAGAATTAACGAGGCAATTAATATCGGGATTAACGACGGCTCGTTTTCTGAGCGCTCCAAGAACACAACATTGCTTTTCTGCAGTATTGATCGTTACAACATCTTCAGCAAATATGCAATTTGAACCAGCTGAAACCTGCATAGATACATAGACAAACCAAACAGTTGGTAAACTTGAAATCAGTTCTCTCTGGAGTGTTTATGCATATAATAATCAAGCCTACTGCTATGACTCACATCATAGAGGATATCTCCTAGCCTCAACTTGACTGCTCCACTCTTGTAAACCAGCATTTTCCCCGCAAATCCTGCCGCCAGATCTTCAAATTTGCTGCCCTTAGCGCTTGGGCCGTCTAGCGACAGCGAGGATCCAACTTTCTCTTTCCCCTTCGCACTAGCTTCTGTCTCTCCTTTTCATTTCCCTTGAATATGGATTGTGGACGTGCATGTAGCTGGTTTTTTTAAGTTCTACCGTTATTTTGAATAAAGTTCCTTTGGAAAAGCAACGAGTTAAGAGCACGTAAATAGTTGACAAGAGCAATACCCTCTTAGCAGAACAAGAAAAAAACAATAATGCCTAGCAAAATGATAAGAAGGGTCAATTTTATTTTATTTTATTTTATTTTATTTTTTTTTTATTTTTTTTTCTGTTCATCTACTCGAGTCTCTTCAATTCTATAACTTGAGTTTTATTTATTTATTTATTTTCCAACTACGGTGGAGGATACAAACATCCTGCGAGAGGGGCGTGAGGGGCGTGAATTTACCGTTACGCTATGTCTATTACCGCTATAACCAGAGATCTCTGTCATTTCAAAAACTAGCTCAATCTCATAATGCAAATTGTGATCACACGCAAGTTACTGTTATCCTGCCAAGCAAATGAAGCAATAATCTTACATTTCGTTACTAGAAAAACTACATCAATGGATAATCTACCTAAATCTATTGTCATTGCAGAAAAGTTTCACTTGTCACCGAGTTGTTAAAATGTGATCAGATGATCTACCTACTCAATATGCATGCATTTACCGTCTACATCATGTGTGGTCCCACAAATATTAAGTATGTACTACATCACCCTTTGTCTGTGTGTTTAGCCCAAGTCGATCACAGAATTAACGAGGCAATTAATATCGGGATTAACGACGGCTCGTTTTCTGAGCGCTCCAAGAACACAACATTGCTTTTCTGCAGTATTGATCGTTACAACATCTTCAGCAAATATGCAATTTGAACCAGCTGAAACCTGCATAGATACATAGACAAACCAAACAGTTGGTAACTTGAAATCATTTCTCTCTGGAGTGTTTATGCATATAATAATCAAGCCTGCTGCCATGACTCACATCATAGAGGATATCTCCTAGCCTCAACTTGACTGCTCCACTCTTGTAAACCAGCATTTTCCCCGCAAATCCTGCCGCCAAATCTTCAAATTTGCTGCCCTTAGCGCTTGGGCCGTCTAGCGACAGCGAGGATCCAACTTTCTCTTTCCCCTTTGCACTAGCTGATCGTTTGACCAATGGCATAGGAGGAAGCTGGAACAGAA